TCTGGTTGCAGTTGCATTCCTTTACCTTCCCTGGACCCGTAGAGCAGCTGTAGTGTTTGCAGTTATTTATGGGAGAGCTGCTGATGCATGTGACAAGAAATAGTGCTAATGGTGATGTCTGTTAGCCTGTAAAACAGCTCCCCCAAGTAAACTGGTGGAAGTCTCATCACTTGGATGTTTTAAAACCAGCCTGGACAAAGCATTGTAAAATATACTGCAGGGAACAATCTCAGAGTGGCAGCAAGATTAAGTAATGGATTGCTCTCTCTTTCTCATTGCTCAGCCTAGCAAAAAGCAGTGTGTGAATATTCAGGGTACTCCAGGGACGTGCTGGTTTGGCTTGTCCTTCCAGGGTCTCTACTGGCAGTGCTCCTATGAAAACACTTAGCTAGATTTGTCTTTCTCTGGGGAGAGGGGGGAAGAAGGAAAGGGGAAAGAGAAAGAGAGAGTGAGAGCACAGTATGTTGCATACATGGCCCTGATCACATCGCTGTCTTGAGGATGCTCACCTTCACTGCCCTTATGCTAGTTATCACCCTCACATTGCAAACCCTTCCACTTACTGAAACTTACCTTGGCTCTGATCATTACCACATTGACACAACAGCTTTGACAATCCTATACTTTTTTTTTTTTTTTTTTTTGCTTCACTTCCTTTGTTGTTGATGGACACGCTGGTAAGTCAGTGGTTGGCTACTGAGAAAAGGCTAATGCACTCAGCCCTAGCAAACCACCAAGGTATTTTTGTACAGCTTTGGCCAAAAATGCATACCATAAGGAGATTTACAGTTCATAGACTTAACCCACACTGTGAAGAACTTCCTTTGAACTAAGGAGAGGGGAACATGAGCTGTGGTGAGTAGTGTCTGCTAACCTACCAGGGAATGATAGACTTGGTAAGTGATGCTACTTTTACACTCCCTGTTACATTACACACCTTTAAATCAGGTTAAGATTAGCTGGAATGGGGCAACCATCATAAACCATGTTTGGTTACACAGTATACTGCACTAAAGTAGCATTCTGTACCAGAAGGGAAGGTTTCATTTCTACAACTATTTCTGAATGTCTGGTACTTGAGCCAATATTTAACCCCACCAATTTTTCCTGAATTATTTCTTTTGAAAACATCCAGAGCAATGCAGCTTCTGCTGCTGCCTTTGCAATTCCATTCTGCATATCATAGCAATATAAGGCCTTTTATAGCAGTATAAGGACTTTTCTTTTGAGCACTGTCTTGGAATCAGGCCTGTTTTCCTGGTCCCTGCACACCCATCCACATCCCTTTTAAAAGGCATGAGCCATTCCAGCCACCTTCTGTACATCCAACAGCCCTGCCTCAGTAAGTCCAGGGAACTAGTTATTCCTCTCTACTTGACGACCTCAATGCTGCATTTGGAGAGCTACATCCAATTTGGGGCCAGAAAAATAGAGACAAATTGGAGAGAGTCTCATGGAGGACCACCTACATGGTTGGGAGCCACATAGGGAGAGGCTGAAGGACCTGTTTTTGTTTTTTGTTTGTTTGTTTGTTGTTTTGTTTTGTTTTGTTTGTTTGTTTGTTTTCAGTCTGGAGAAGATAAGGTTAAAGGGATCTAACTGCTGTCTTCTACTACTAAAAGGGATGTACAGCACAAGTGCAAGAGGCAGAGGTCACAGTTTGCGACAACAGAAATTTCAATTTCTTATAAGGAAAACTTTTCACCATGAGAGGGGTTAAGCACTAGAGAACAGTGGCTCAGAGGGGCTGTGCAATCTGAGAGGTTTTCAGAGCTCAGGTGGATAAGGTCCTGAGCAACCTGATCTAATCTTGATGTCAGGCCTGCTCTGAGTAAGGATTTGGACAAGGTGACTCTGAAGTGTCCTTTCTGATCTAAATTACTCAATTATTTTATAATTTTGATTTTTAAAATGCCACTAGCTATTTTAGTGTTCAGGTAAAGGCTCAAAAACTCTTATGAAAGCTTGGGTCAGGCTCAGCAGCCACAATCACTGAGGAAATCCTGGCTTGCAATCTGTTATGTGCCTCGGCACTTCAGCTGTTGCACCACCCACAAAGCTCTTGTTCTCCCCAAATACTTGGAAGGGAGGAAGTAAATACAAATGCTTTCCATAGAAGTGAAATTCCAGGGTGGAATGTCACCCCCCACCACCACCCCCTACACACACACACTCTTTAGAAAAGTTAAAACAGAATTTATTACTTTATTTTTTGGCTTGCTGACTTTCTGCCTGTCAGAAGGGCTCTTGTTGATTCCATTGCCTCCCTGAAGACAGAAAACAAAGTTGACAAACGCCTGCCAGGCGGGCAGCTCTAGAGCTGTCATTTCCATTTTCTCAGTGGAAAAGAGGAATTTGTTGTCAAACTTGAAATTTGTCATAGCAAAATTTCAGTTACGCAAAAACTGCTTTTAGGCAGGACACTCCTTCGTTAGGTCTTAATAAGAAAATACCCTTTTTCCTTTTTTCCATCTTGTCTACTTGGCTCTACAATGATTACAGATCTGTTGTAAACTTAGCTTGCAATGAACCATAACAAATCTCTTGTTGCAGCCAGAACATCTAGGTTTCCCCTTAATAGTATTATTTATTAATAACAGTTAAAATGTGCAGTTAAAGTGAATGTAAGCTTCAGCTTGCTTCAGCTGTGGCCAGAGTTTGCTCTATGACTTAGAAAAAGCTATTGAAATTTATCATTTGCAAAAGAAGGATAATGATACCCATTTCTACCCAGAAGCAAATGTGACATTTTAGCTTGGAAAATTCTGAGTCAGGTGCAGTGTGCAGCCCTGGCCATTTCTGCACTCTTCCTTTTCCTGGCCTCATTTGATGGAAAAGCACCACTCAGCTAGGAGAGTCAATGCAGATAGGAAGGTAAGGTCTGCTGATAAGAAACTGTTTTGATGATATTGCTACCATTGTCCACTAGCTTTTGCCTGATAGTCTTGCCCTTGACTCTGCAGGATCACTTGAATCCTGCCAAAAAGCACTTCTCTTTTAGTCACCACGACACACAGATGCTGTTTCCTTACATCCTGGACTCTGCTGTTTCACACCTGATGTTGGTATAGTTGACAATCACTTTACTGCCTGTTGGAAAACAGTTGAGGCAACAGTCTCTCCAGATACCAGGCTCCAGATGAAGAACTATTATTGACAATATTCCCTGTGCTCTGAGATAGCTTGAGCTGGCAAAATCCAATTCAGTTTCCAGGAATACGGCTCTCAGTAATGACCTGCTCTAAACTCCAAGGAAACTGCTGATGCTCAGTTATGGTCTTTGGAGCATGCCCTAGAAACTCAGGTTTGTTTCTCACCTCACTAGGATGAAGTATGCAAATTCTTATATGCCAGTGCTCCTTGTGTTGGAGTGAAGTGGCTGGGGAGATAGGGGTTGGCATGGACTTCTTCCAAAGCTATTCTGCAGAAACCCTGTAGTGTTTGTACTTCCCTCCCCAAATCTGTTTCCTATGGGAGCAATGAACTAGCCAAAGGAAGGGAGTGGGTCCTGGCACAGCCTGCTTAGACCTATAGCAGTGTAAAAGGCTGCGCTTGGAAGATGTGCCTAGCTGGCTGAATCATGGAGTTGTCTGATATTTCAGGGACAAAAACGAGCATCTAATTGAAATGCATTTGATGGCTGGAGTTCAGCCCCTATTAGGCAAGGATCCACGTTGTAAAGTGAACCAGCTTTGCACCTGTTTTGTCCCAGCTGGCATCTTCTGCCTGAAAAAGGCATACTGCTGTGGTAAAAGGTATTAGAATAATAATAATAAATCCTATCCATAAAAGGCTTTGATCAAAGCGCTTTCTCATTTCCTTTCTTTACCTTGTTTTCTTTTCTTTCTCTTTCTTTTCCTGTACCCTCCACTGTCTGATTATTCTAGACAACTGTGTCTGACGGCCTAGGGGAGTTGACTGGTCATAAAAGCACTCATGAGGCTGGCAGGTAGGAGCATATGAGTCTCACATACCCTGGTGCTGGCTTGTGGCAAAGGCAGCATCTAAACTGATTAAGTACAGCACTGCTTTGGTCTGTGTGTTATTGGTGGTCCAGCTTAAGCCCCTACCTACTGCTGACTTTGTTTTAACTCCTGGGGTTGATTCGAGACACTGACCCTGCTCCTGACAGTCCCGCGTTCCTGCTACCATCATGCCATTCCCACCCCTGCAGCAGCCCCTGCATGAGACCTAGAAGACCCACCCTGCTCAACCATACATTTCTTGTGTGCCATTATGTCTTTTTTTTTCAGCCACTGCCATCTGTGTGTCAGCTCGCCATCTGTACGGTGGGGGTGTCATTTGCTTGCTCCATCTTTCTGCAGGCACCCTTTAGGAGCAGGTATTACCTCCAGCTGTGAGCTGTGCTCACGTGGGTCAGCACAGAGATGGCTCACGCTGAGTGCCTTGCAGCAGGCTCCCATCTCTCTGTGCCCCTCCATGGAGAGTGACATTGGAAAAAAAATTCCCAACTCCTGATTTTTTTATGGCATATATGGGGCAGTTAGTGTACAGCACAGGACAGCGTTTTTGTTGTTGTTTCATGCAAAAGTGCCTCTCACGCCCATTCTCAAAAACCGTTCATCTCACCTTCCTCCACAAGCCTGCTCAGTGATCAAGGAAGCTTTGTGTCACATTTCACTGATGCCCAGTTTAGGCACCCAGACTGGGATCACTGAAGAGAAAAACCTCCATTTGTTCAAAAGGCAGCCCTCCAAATCTCATCACGAGCAATCAGACAAGCTTGGCAGAAAAAGCCTTTCCTTTTGTGTGATAAACAGAAAGAAATAATATATGATCTAAGCTCCTAACCATGCTTAAATCTGTTTATTCTGATGTTTCCTTCAGTGTGTCATCAACAACAGATATTATTCTGTTAGAATATTTTTCTGTCTCTATCTTCCTGTCTGTCTATTTTTAATTATATCAGAATTAGGTGATTGCTGCTTTAGATTAGGTTTACCTGAAGAACATGCACTGTGATGCCTGTGATTTCATACCTCAGCATAAGCCTTTCGGTTTATACAACATTAAAGTCTTGAAATCCAGTACTCCAAAGGCAATGGATCCTGAAAAATAATGATGTGTCTGTAAGAGCAGCTCATCTGCACCTAGACAACCTCTATTTGATGGTAATGTATTAACAAAAGCAATAAGACGACATCTTATGTATAACAAATGAATGTGGAATAGAAAACAGTCGATGTGTTTGAATTGTTCCAGTTAATATTGTGGAGCAAACTTATTTTTTGTCTGATGCTTAAGCAATTCATATCACAACCTGAAGACGAAATTATTGACAGTTAAGAAAGTAATAATCTGGATTTCTGGACTACTTAAAACACAACAAAACAACAACAATAAAAACTACCTTTGTTTTTTTCTGTGACACTTACAAAGTTTGTGTCAGCCATGGAATAAATCCCCCAAAGTACTAATATTCATAACAGACAAAGAGCTGAAAATGATTTGTTTGGGACAAGCACAACTTATATCTGAGCTTCTGCAGGAGTTCAGAGTTCAAGGTGGTTGTTTTTTGTTTGCTTGCTTCTTCCTGGTTTTGATTTAAAAAAAAAAAAAAAAAAAAAAAAGTTATGGCATGGCTGATGTTCCACAATGAGTACTGCTGATAGAAGAACACTGAGTCATGTTCTGCCATCCATTTTTTAGAAAGGTATAGCAAAACTGGGCGGGACAGAGAGAAAAGTCATCCAATATAATTCAAGGACTGCAGGTGAAGAAAGAACAGAAGAGCCTGCTGCCTTTCAGGGAAAGACTCAAGGAGCTCAATCTGTTTTAGTTAATCAAAACTAAGATTGAGAAGTGGTGTGGCTACAGGGTATAATTACCCACATGGGGAGAAAATACTGGCTACAAAAGGGATCTTTAATCTAGCAGAGAGAGACATAACAAGAACTAATTACCCAAAGGTGAAGCCCAGAAAATCCAATGCAGTAATGGGGCACAGCTTCTTAGGAGCACAGATGATTAATCACTGGAACAAAATACCCAGGGAAATGGTAGTCAGGTTGAATGCCTTTCTATAAAAGCTGCTTTCAACATGAGATGCCAGACTCCACAAGAAGTCTCCCCATGAAAACCTATGTCTTGTGTTGAACAAGAGATCAGATCTGTTTGGAGCTCTTCTTTCATCTCGCATCTGTCTTCCCTCAGCACCTCTTCTGCACAAAGACCCACAGCAATATCACCACTTTCTCACATTCCCTTTACTAGTTTTTCTGCAGCCTTTTCCACAGCCAGTGCTGAGAAGAGGTCTTGGATTGCCCAGCCTTTAGCTGTTCCTGATTGCCATCCTCTCCTTGGACATCTGCTGTCATTTTCCCCACACCACACTGTGATACTTCACCACTTAGCTCCTTACAACCTGCTCCATTTCTTTGCATTCATCCCTACGAATGCTGTCTGTGAACCAAGCAGCGGAAGGAACCAGCAGGTCAGAGGGAACCGGGACAAAATCGGTCACTATCTGCTTCCCACTTGTGGGCCACCCATGCTTACCCCATGAGACAATTCATCCAGGAAAGGCACCTACCCTCTAAGGGACACACAGATACAGAGAGAGCATCCCAGGCAGAATTGCCCCTGTGTAACCACATGCATAAGTTATAATAATGGAAATATTTTCTCCACCGAGCCTTTAAAATCTCAGAAGCTGTCTGGTCTGTTTCCTCCAAACCACCCCACCCCAGCTATCCTGGTACTCATGACTGCATCCAAACACCCCTCAGCGCATGGACTGATTGCTGGTTCCTAAACAGAGATCACTTGTTGAGCCAGAAGCACCTAACCAGTATATGAATGTTTGCCTTCTGCTGTGTTTTCTCCATGCCCAGCAACACCTAACGTATGGTGCAGTCTGACAGTACAGCACCCCAAGGCACAGCAGTCATTCCCACCACCCCTCCCACTCTCTATTTACCAAAGTAGTTCTTCCCCTTTTTATATCCAACCCACATAAGCTGCTTCTCCAGTAATATATCCACTGCCACAGCTGGAGCATTTGTAACCTGCAGAGTTCAAGCCAGGCTGGAGACAGAAGGTTTCACTGAATTGATACAGCTTTGAAATAAAATGCCCCGCCTGCTGGCATTTCAGGGCCAAATGTGCTTTGAGGGTGGCTCCATTGATGAAGTCCATTTGTCAAGAATGGTGCAAAGCTCCAGAGCCCAGCCAATTTTCTTCACTAAGCCTGGGCAACTGACTTACATTAATTTCTAAAAATGCATGCTTTTCATCTTCAGCTTGCAAGGCAACTTTCTCTCTTCCTCCCAGGGGTAGGATATGGCTAACACAATATATGCATTTATCAGCATCAGCATGGATTATTAGAATAAACCATATCTGGACCTCAGTTTAAGGATGCCACTCAATTCCAGCTCATATAAAATGCTGCTTTTTATATGTCTGAAGCTGCAGCAAACATGCAAAGCTTCTGCTCTAGTCCCTTCCTTAGCTCACGGATAGCCTCTGACATCAATTCAAAGTCTTATTTTTCAAAGAAGCTGAAGGATTGAATCCCTGCTCCGTGAAAGACCAAATTTCAATCTGTGACCCCTGGTGACAGCTGGGCTCTTCTGAGCTGACGCCTCTGAGAACTGACAACAAAACAGCTCTGATCAAAGGGAAGTCTCTGTGGAAATTGTTCAAGTGGGGAGCAAGTGCACTCCCACTCTGGAGGCCTCTAAGGGATGTTAGTATGCTTGCCTTGGAGGGGACTTTACTGCCATCACTGATCCCAACAATACAAAAACCTTTATTCTTCCTACCTCATTCCTTCACTCCCTCTCCCTCCAAACGGAACAACTATCCCCAAAGAGTGATGACCCCAAAAAAGTAAATTGTCAGATGCCTCATAAACTCTATAAGAGATTAGTGACTTCTTTTTTTTTTGACATGAAAAATTGCTTGGAGGCTACAGTAATGGATGTGATATAACACCCTACAAAGAAGCAGCAGAACTTGACCTTGAGTTTCTAGGTCAGCTATCAAAAAAATAACCCTAATTTCTTTTGCTTTGGGAATGAGTGGTGAATAACAGAATTGCACAGATGCAGAGTGCACCTTCTGGATGCAGATGAAGTCTAACCCCTCAACACCAACTTTATTCTAACATCAAACACAGTTATGGAGCTCACTCCAAAAGCAGTGGCACTACACCTACACCAGTTCCATTACCTGAAGAAGAGCTATGTAGGATGCTGAAACTAAAGAGTGTATGTGTAAGCCTGGGATTCTCCCATGGCTTTCCTAAAATCAAGATAGCCTGAGCTCACAGCATTTCTTTTTCTCTCTAGTGTTGGAAGGGGCTAGAGGAAGCCATGAAGAAGCAATAATTCAGTACATTCAATATATATGCATACTTGTATACATTTATTAAAAAAGAGAGAGAGAGCAACTGCAAAATCCATAGGCCAATTATAACTGCCTTTTTTCCCCTTCCATTCCTTCCATTTATAGTACAGTATGTGCTGTAAGCACTGATTCCAAAATACTCATTGCAATAATTCCCTCTAGCGGAGAATGATTATTTACTACTTACATTCTCACTTTAGTGTTTTCCATTTAGGAAAAATCAAGCTGCAAACACAGGACCAGGGTTAGAGAAAGACACTCCCATTCTGCTTAGAATGGCATTCCTAGAAGTGTTTACTGTTATGTAAAAGCTGTGAATTGTACTTGAAAACAGATTTTTTTTTCTAAAAAAAAAAATAAATCTATTATTTATGGAGCTTTTATAGGCAGTATTTATCTCTTGACCTAAGTTATATGGCATGGAGTAAAGCCACAAAAGCAAATGTTCTATTACACAACCCCTGAATGCTGGGGTGGGGGGCAAGATGAGGATGTAGTGATGGAAAACTGAGAGTCACCAATAAAGAAACATCTTGGTAACAGGTGTGACCTCACTTACAATGTCAACAGCTGAATATTGGTGATAATCTACTGAAAGTTACTAGAAATCAAGCATCAGAAGGTATAAAATTGCATTAGAATGATGCTTGCAGCTGCATTCAGGATACCACACTGATGTTTCTGCCATGCTAACAACACTAGTCAATTAAGAAATCTTCCAGGCCAGACTAGCAACTGAAAAAAAGAGATGCTAATCCGGTCTCTGAAGTGCTGCAGTGCACGAAGCGTGGGCTTTCTCCATATGTTCTCTCCCTCCTTGCAGAGTAAACGTCAGTATTGCTTTTGCATGTTTAATGACAGTTTTCTACAACCACCAAGGCTATGAAATATTAGAGGAGCTAGGAGTGATTAAATTCAACTGGAGTGAGGCCAGCTCACCTCACCATTCTTCAAAGTTGGTGGAAAATGTACGCCAGCAAGAGGTGCAGGTAGCAAGCTCCCCAGCACCAAACAAAGCTGCCACTTATTTTAAAGCTCGCCCCAGAGAGGCAGTCCAGCTATGTGTTCGTGCCTGAGCCCCTGCCAGTCCACCATTCAAGGCCTTAATGCTTACTGGCAGCCTCTGCACTACACCCAGCCCCCAGCCTCACCCTGAGCTCTCTACAATGGGATTAAGTAATTTATAGATCAAATAAATAACAGGAGGCTATGAATCATGAGGCTATTATTCCTTCAAGGGTTCCTGTTCTAATTCAGAGCAGAAACCTTCTAATGATGCCATCAGCTGAAAAAAAAAAAAAAAAAAAAAAAAAAAAAAGCTTGAGTCATAATAGCTCCTGGATAAAATGATATGTGTGCAATACACAATCGCATTTTTGTTTAGATAAGCTGGCTTTGTTGTCCATGAGCTCTCTGACTGCCTCTCTCTGACTGCCTCTAACAGGGAGGAATTGGCTTGATACTTTCCCCCAGTGCACGCTGAGAGCATACATACTGTGATGCACATACCCTTTTGCTTCCACTTAGGCACTGCAAGATGGATCACAAACAGCCATTTGCAAATCATGAAAAATGAACTGTGTTTGTGCTCAGCACAATCCCATCATGTACCTACCTAGTTCACCTGCACAGACCCTCTCTATCCCCTCCATTGCTTCCTAGGAGCCGTTATGTGAGTCAGGGATGGCACAGTACG